ATATATATATATTAAAAAAAGTATTAATAGTTACTATCAATATTCAACAAGGTTCAATTATGATTAAATTTTCTTTCACTAAAATATTGATATCTATTTAAGAGACTAACTTTTTTCAACAAATATTGTTTACAAGGTTAAAAATCAAACTCTTAATAACATATTTAATTAACTACATACTTAAATGATAAATATTAATTATGTTATTATATTAAAAAAAGTATTAATAGTTACTATCAATATTCAACAAGGTTCAATTATGATTAAATTTTCTTTCACTAAAATATTGATATCTATTTAAGAGACTAACTTTTTTCAACAAATATTGTTTACAAGGTTAAAAATCAAACTCTTAATAACATATTTAATTAACTACATACTTAAATGATAAATATTAATTATGTTATTCCTTGTTGTTAGCTAACTTCATACACTTGTCCTTGGATCTTAATTAAACCAACAACTTTATGATTTAAGGACTAGTCAAATTTTCGAACATTAAAATAACACCACACGTTCATAATTTAGATTAATTTTATATCCATATACAGTACATAGTATTTTTTAAGTAAAAATATTTAACATTATTTTTATCATATTATATTTAGGGGAATTAATTAATTAGAATAAAATCCTACCTCATGACACCATTTAATGATTTTACATTGACTTTTAGCTTCACGTATTTCTTTTGTCCTTACTTCTTGGGATCTTATATTCCTACTACCTTATTAATATTATATTTAATATTATATTAAAGTAATTAAATTATTAGTCTAATTATCTAGATACTAAATATAAAAGTAGTTAAAAAGCACCTCCATCATCACGATGAAAATCAGTAAGATGTTTTTATTTTTATTTTTGAGTAATATAAAAGTCCAATAAATTAAAACTCTAAACAAATAAATTAACATCATTATACAGTTTTTTAGATGTGGTTTGTATTTTTTTCTAATTAACATCATCATACAATTTAGAGCTTAAAATTTAGGATTTAGAGTTTAATACGAAGTACCTTATTAATATTATATTAAAGTAATTAAAATATTAGTCTAATTATCTAGATACTAAATATAAAAGTAGTTAGAAAGCACCTCCATCATCAATGATGGAAATCACTAAGATGTTTTTATTTTTGAGTAAAATAAAGACCCAATAAATTGAAACTCTAAAGAAACAAATTAACATCATCATATAATTTTTTAAATGTAATTGATGTTGTTCTTTAATTAAAAATTAAAGTTTTATCTCAATATTATATATTTATATTTAATATAGATCTAATTAATATATATTTACGTATATTATTAAAATAAAATATCAACTATAATTAGAGAGTAACAATAATTACACTTAAAAAATTATATTTAAATTTTATCCTTAAAATAAAAATAGAATACATTTTAATGGCTAGTCTTGGATGTTTATAATCAAATGATCATTGTTTATACTTGAGGTTAACTAATCAATAATTGAACTATTATCAATTGAACTATTATCTTAGTAAACATGGTGAGGACAAGAAATCTAGTTCATTCCAATTAAGCTTCTATAGAATACATATATATATAT